TGTGATACTGTAATAATGATACTGTGATACTGGAAATGTGATAATGCGATACTGAGATACTGATGTGATACTGACAACTACGCAATGTGACACCTATTGGTAGTGGGTATTGTTATACAGTTGTGATACTGATACTGTAAGTTATTGTGATACTGACCACTACACAATGGGACACCCATTGGTAGTGAGGACTGTCATACTGTGACACACTGTGAGACTACTATACTGTGACATGTTACGAAACTGACCACTATGTAATGGGACAACCATTGGTAGTGACATTGTTATATTGAGAAAACACTTTGATACAGATAAAATGTGATATACTTTGATACTGACCATTGCACAATGGGTCATCCATTGGCAGTTGGATACTGTTATACTGGCAAATGTTGATTGTGCCTCGACCATAATGATAGGACTGTGGTCAGAAAGTGAAACTGAGTAATTGAATGGGTCGCACCCCATAATTGTAATAGGTACTACGCATTGGGCCACTCAATGGTAGTATAACTCTCTCTCGCCGAAAGGGCATTTGAGAGGGTGGCGTATTGCAAGGCCACTGCCTATTTAATACCCCAAAGCGTGCTGGGGTTGTGTGTGTGTCTATGTGAGGACATTACGAAGTAAGACACCCACTTGTCATTTGTCCTACCTTCTGAACAAGGGTAGAGGTTCCAAGTTATAAAGTTGACTTAACCTGATCGATGGAACTTCTATTTCAGGAGTAGGCTTCTCTAGCTTTTATTGTGTGAAACTGTGATGTCAGCCTTATTGTTATGCTTAAGATGGAATGATTTATGACTTATGCGATGTATGTTTCTGATAATTGAACTACGTTTATTCTTATACTGTTAAAGTACTGAAAGGCATAATAAGAAAATTTCCTTGATATCTCTGTAAATTAGTGAGCACTGTTAACTACTATCACTGTTTATGAAGTTGGAATGCAATGGTGTAGATTTGCTTACTGGGCTGTTAGCTCATTCCATTTCTTTCGCATGACTGTAGAGTGATAGTCTCTGATCTGAAGATTGGGTAGCTGAGCTGTGTGTTGGAGGAGTAAAACTTGGAGTCTGGTGAAGGATTTTGCAGAAGCTTTTTCATAGTTGGTGTTTGGGAAATGTTTTATGCTAACCTTGTATTTTTTTTATGGGTCATTAGTGGCTTACAGTAATTGTAAGGACTGTTGGATAATGAATGTCAATGGAAATGACTGTGTGTTTGGATTTATATCTATCTTATTGATTGGATTTTAGTTTTTTCTCTGGTTTGCTCTTAGTTTCGTCCTTTTTATGCATTGTACCACTCCCACTTGAGTGGCGTTCGCCACCTCATGTCGCGGTCCCGCACTCTGTCACCCTCCGGTATGTACGATATGGGGTCAAGGGGCGGGGTCGTGATATAAGTGTAGCTTAAATAATGCTTAGTTTCCCAAATAAGATGATGTGAAATTTGCTATCATCTTGATGCCAGTTGTCATTTCATGGTCCTTAGCCATAAACTAAGTACAAAGTGCTCGCCTGATAGGCTTCTCATAATCAAATCTAATGTCCACTTATGTGTTTGTTTTGTGAAGAAAGAGATTGTATGTGAGTTTTTTTTTTATTAATGAAAATCCAAAGTGATGTATAATTGGCATCGTAAATAGTGTTATATTTGTTAGCACTTGAGTATCGTCTTATTTTTATCAATCTCTTTGATGCATTTTGTGTTTAAGCTTTGTCAAGGGACCTAATAGAGTTGTAATTTAAGTGTATGTGAAGCTACATTTATTAGCTAGAAGTTGTATGTCATTGTCATATTTTGATATAACATCCATGTAATTTGGTGTATCTACTAATAGAATGAGAAAAAGTTCAAGTGTTGTCACTTAGCTTGGCTTTATGCCATATCAGTAGCATCGTAGCCAAGCTCTAAAATAAGGTCCCTTAGTCCATTAGTTTGGTTGAGGATTATGATCCAGGAAGTGGTGTTTGATCACAGTTGCTAAAGCAATATTTGTCATGCTTTTTATGGATGAAAGGTCCAATGACACTATGATTATGATTGAAATTTCTAGAAAAGTTCACTTTTTTTGGAGTAATGAAAGTGGCACGTTTTTGGCAATAAATTATATGAGTATTTTATGTGTTATTTTGTGGTTTTGAGTCCAATTTCATTTGGAGAAAATCTAATAGAGAAATAATTTCTAAATTGGGAGATATTGATTGATTTTTGGAGTATGACATAAACCTTATACTTTTGTGTATGGCGGTTTTGAGCAATCGAAGCATATGAGCTTTAGTGGGGGCTATATTGTTGCTTTGGGAAGTTAGGTCCAAAACTTAGAATCAAAAGAAACCTTAGGGAATGGGATTGGAAGGGGGTCATCGATGAATTCCACTGTAATCTCCCTTGATCATTAGGATTTTGAGAGGTTTGCAGCCACTCAACCCACTCTCCATTTTGAACAGAGAGAAAAATCATACAGGAAGAAAAGAGAAGCTTCTTCTTTTGCTATGGGCTGATGATTTTCTTGCATTTAGTTCGGTTTTGGGAGCCTAATGCTCTCTCTTTTCCTTTGTTGGGTGTCGTTCTCCCTTCTCACTCCACGTTTTTTAAGTATCTTGGTTTCTCTTTTTGATAGGGAAGTCAACATTCTAAATGTGTGTTGGTAGGGTAAATCTTTGTGTTTGTTCTTATTTAAGTGGGTAGATATCCATATTCTTATTCTGTATAGGGTGGGTACTCCATTCTCTTCGTCGGTCTCTTCATCGGTAGTTTTGTCTTATGATTATGAGGCAACACATACATACTCTCTTTACACACACTTATTCTTTTATTTCACGTAAGCTGATTGATATTGCTATTCCACTACTTTGAAGGAAAGTGAACATGCTTACATAAACATAAGTTTCAATATGCCATTTCTCATTCAACATTTATTCGCTATCCCATTCCCTTATTCCTAGTGCTCAATACTGAGGTCTTGGTGGCTCTCTCTTCTCTAGCTTATGAGTTTGAACATCTCTTATCATGTTCTTATTTTTATGTGTTTTTTATATTTCAGCGTGTCTGTCTAGTTGTCTATCGATTAATATATGTGCCCCTCCCTCGCTCTCTCTCTCTGAACGTTTCTTAAGATTTTAGCCTTTCTTCTCTCTCTCTCTCTCTCTCTCTCTCTCTTAATTCGGGTGAGCAACGAACTAGGTCTTGAAGCTACAGGTGCAATAAACTCGGTTTGGAAGCTGTAGGGTTGTTGAACAATACAATGAATACATTAATGGTTGGCGGCCCCCAATTTAGATTTGCAAAGGCAGACAGAAAAATTCATCAAGCTCACCTTGTCTTTCTTTTTTTGCAAACAAAAAAAAGGCTAAATTAGCAATTTTCCTTATTAAAAAAGCACGAGTGAGGGATATCCAAAATAAAAAAATTCTAAAATTTTGGATATTCAGCATCTCAATAAAATATCTCAAGTATTTTATTTCTCATAAAACCATTTTTCGCAATCATATGTCTTTTTTGTAATGATTTTCAGTTAAGAAAATAAAAGTATTATGGATGTATTTTGATTAGTTCTGCCATGCATCTCAAAATGTGTGGAGTGTTTAACCTAGTTTTTGATGACTCATATCAGGGGCATATTGTCTAAGCATTGATCATGTTTGGAATTGCCGATTCGGATCAGTCAGGATCAACAATATGGGAAAATATAGAATAAGGTAATCATATGTTGTTTATATCGCATTTTAAACGACTTACTACTTGATCGGATTAGTGATATATCCTACGGTTACTTTGCCAAAAGGTCTTAGGTTTGAACCTCGTATCAAAATACGGTGTGTACTGTAGCTGGCATGCTCTTTGGAACTTTCCATTGCATTTATCGAGAACATAAAGTGCTTTTTGGAACTTTCCATTGCATTTATCGAGAACATAAAGTACATTCTATACAACAATGATCTTGCCCAAGAATCAGATCAATCATGGGTGATTCCCGACATTTATTTGGAGACTATTTTACCTATAAATTAGTGTTTTCCTCTTCAAGTCCACAAACCCCAGTAATACATGAAATTTACAAATGAAACCTTCCATAAGATGGAATTTTAAGAAACACACTGCTACCACTTTTAAAATCTCTATTTTTGTTGTTGTGATATTCTAATCCCATAATTACATCTGATATTGAATGTTCATACTAGATCTTTATTTTGGAGTGGAAGATAGGTTCAGACATTGAGTATCTAAAAGCTTCTGCTTTATTTTTTTTATTTTTGGCAAGTATATTGATTTAGATATCTGTCCCCTTTCTCCCACTTTTATTGTTTGAAATGCGAGATGGGCTTGGACCTTGGATATCCAACCCACTTACAAAGAAAAAGGTAAGCAAGCCCAAATACTTTATAGGCGAACCCATCTCCCACTCATAAAAACAATGACACCAACGATCCAACAATCTGCCTTGTCGTTGGAAAGAAAAAATAAAAAAAGTATGACTTAATGTAAAATAAAAACTAGGGAAATTTATCAAAATAAACCGATAAACTATTTAACTTCTTACCCATTTTCAACTATTCCAACTCATGGTGATGTGCATTTTGATAAATTTGTTGAATTAAATTAAAATAAATGGTAAAATATTAAAGAATTCATCTGTTAAGTGTATTTTAATAAGTTTCCCACGATAATATGCCATCTTTTTCTTCAATTTCCATCTCGTAATAAGATTTTTGTGTAAATTTTCCTATTATTAACAATAAAAGCAGGCGTATTAGTGAGGGTGGGTCCCAAAGGACCTTTAAAGATTTGCCCAGTGACTTACAAGTCACAAAGAACAAATAAAAAGGAAAGAAAAAGCATAAGAGACAAGTAGTCGCATAAAAGGATGCTAAAATGTATAAAACAAGATTTGATAAACCGTTGAGATATTCTGGCCGAAAATCCAGGCCGTCCAATCCAGTTATCCCAGCATCGTAGTTTCCATATGCTATGGCTTACAGCCATCTCGGCCTTCCATTCAAACGGAACTTTATCTTCTCTTTCACAGTTTACAGCCCCATCTCTCTCTCTCTCTAACAATTTGCAGTATTTCCTAAGATAGCTCGCCTCTCTCTCTCTCTCTAACAATTCGCAGTATTTCCTAAGATAGCTGGCCTCTCTCTCTAGAAGGTATTCCTATTTTTAGAAGAAATTGTGTTCTGTGGTTTTCATGATTTCTTCTATTTCAGGTACTTTCTCTCTGTTACTGTTTATGAGGTTTACTTCCACTTCAAGTCTTCTCTCTCTTCTCTCTCTCTGGCTACAGTTCCTACTCCCTCGTACTCTTCTCTCTCCTGCATGCCGTCCAGTTTTTTTTTCTCTTTGCGCTTTCGTACTCTCGTTTTTCGTCCTAAAAAACCCTAACCCTCTGCAACTTTTCGTTACTTTGAAGACATTAGAGAAGGATGGCTAAGGGAATTCTGGGACGGCCATCAGAGCGAGCAGGGCCCAATTTTGAGGTGGAATTATGGGTTGTTAAGAAGCGCATGTTATCATGGAACATCAGCGAGCTCATCAGATCCTGCCCTCACGCCGATTCTCATGAAATTTTTTCTCCAGGGCTCGTTGTCGCGAGGCTGTCGTATAGCCAGTGGGTAGATGCACTAGAAGCCATGATCGCTCTCTGGGAAAGCCGCCTTGATGGAGCTCACTACTTCTCTCCTCGCTTCAAAACGCGAGTCGTTGTGCCATCTGATCAAAATGAGCTCACTGATCGCCTTCGAACACTTTTTGCTGTTCATGTTCAGTGTTTGCTTCGAGGTGAAGCCCTTGAAAGGTGCAAACAGAAGCTCGAAACCATTGACATGGAGCTTCGAAACGTGGTGTCTTTGCTCAAGAGCTCCAACCCTTTGAAAAAGTATTATGAAATCAATGGAAAGAAGGAAGGTCTCATATCAGAGAGAAGACTTGTTGAGAAAAGGATTGAGGAGTTCAAGAGTGCAATGGTGTGTATACATAACCAGTTGGACTTGGCAATTTGGGATGATTGCTTGTCTTATGATTCAGAGGATGATGGGGTGGTCCCTTACAAGTTTAAAGGGACTTGGAATTGGGATAGGCTTCACCATATTTTGTTGCGAGAGTGCAGGAGGCTTGATGATGGCTTGCCCATCTATGGATGTCGGCAGGAGATACTCAAGAAGGTTTTACATCACCAGGTACTTTCCATGCTATCCCCAATTCTGTGTTTCAAACATCTTTTTCATTATTTTTTGATTTTATAGAGGTAAGTTTCAGTAAATCCAGCTGAAAGAATGGGTCTCTGATTTGAAATTCATAACTATTGTCAAATTCAGTACCGATTGTTGAGCAAAGTGGCAGTTTTAATTGAAAGTTTTTCTTAAGTGGCAGTCTTAATTGAAAGTTTTTCTTATGGTAGACTCAATTCCTAACTTGTTGGCTTGTTCTGTGTAATCTTATGTTTCATTTTTCACAGGAGTATTAGTGGTTATGTCTTTGAAATTCATGGCTGTTAACGAGTTGTTTGCTGATTGTTTGTCAGTAACTATCCTCATGGAAACTTAATTTGACGCAAAGAGGCCAAGTTTCCCAGACTTGTGTGTTCAATTCAGGGACATAAAAACATTCAAAAAAATTCAAAAAAATGTCATATTGCTCTATAATGCTTTTGTTTATGATTTTAGATTTTTTTGACTAAGATTGGTAGTTTTTTTACCATAATCTTGATATTTATATTTTCCCTTTTTTTTTATTTGTTTAAATACCCCAAACTGTGAATCAGTTTTCTTTTGCCATAATCTCTTTTTTTGGTTTATTTTAGTTTTGCAAACTTGTTTTTTTTCAAATTTTTCTTTATTTCCTTAATTTATTTAGGGCCTTTTTTTGTATGTCTTGGGCTTGTCCTACATATTCAGCCGAGTAACTCGCTTCGGACCCTTTGCTGAGGCAAGTCTCAGCGCATTTATCCAGATTGATTTGTGTTTGTCCATACTTCAGAGACCTATGAGTATAGTCATAAAAACATTTTTGAGCATCTTGCTTATTAGTGGAGAACCTTCATGTAACACATTTGGTGCCCCGGTTAGGCTTGTAGATATGCGGTTTGAGTGTTTGGGTTCTGGACAATGGGTTTGGGAATGCTGATTTCTTTCATTATGCATACTTGGTGCTGGGCTAAGGTTCCTTGGTCAATGATGACATTAGACATATGGTGTTATGTTTGATACATTTAAGAACATGAGGTTACTTACCCAAAAAAAAAAAACGAACCTAAGGTGGTGGGGCATTTTTGATATCTTTCTTAGGGACTGTTGAGTTTGTGTTTATGCCTTAAAAAAATCATGTTTTGTTGACCAGCTTGAACAGGAGCCCCTTAATGCGAACATGGGTGTTTCTTTTATGTATTGAATCGTCGTGAATTGAATCCAACTGTATGCAGTTAAGTGCATTAATCTCAGAATGAAATAACTAATAAAGAAAGAAATGGATGGGGTGTGCCTCGTTAGATTTAGGCTTCATTTATCAGCGGCATCAAATTCCGTAAATTCCACTATCAGCACACAATGCATGATTGTGAGGAGTACAATAGGGAGAAAGAACTCTTGACACCTTTTCTTTTCTTATGTAAAACATGGGCTAATAGTTGTGTTCTCATTTCCCGCTCAATTGCAAATGATGTAGCTAAATGGTAATACCACCAATACATTCTTAACTGAATTGGCCTTTCGTTGCAAAAGGAACCTTTCCAGACTCGGCTTTATTGTATTACTCTTGAAATTTTGCATACATGATTGTAAGGAGGTGTTTCTGTATTTGAGTGGAAATTTATATTATAATTATCTCAGAAAAGTAATTTTCCAAAAAAAGAAATCTATATTAATATGTAACACATTTAGTGAGTTCCATGGACAGGCCGGTTTGTTCTGTTCCCGAATGTTGTGCCACGTTGATATGGTTCATCTTCAATACCTTCTCAATTCCCAATTTGGATACCCTAATTATGATTTGATGGGATTTGTCAAAATCTTTTGATAAAATAGCTGTGTCAGTTCTGAGTACTGCTTCTACAATAATTTCTGAAATACTCCTAGTACCCCTTTTATTTTCTGTTGTAGAGAAGCTACTTTAAGCAGCGTGTTTGAGATTTCCTTATTGCATAAGGCATTTAACTGAATTGGGTGTAGCGCTCTGTGCTGATTGTCATCATGTGGACCGGTGTAACACTAGATTAAAACTGAAAGGAGCAAATGTGAAAAGAAAAATAGTTGTTGTGACCTACCCACCATCCCCAAATCATGAACCAAACAGGTTAGTTCAACCTTGCACATTTTCAGAAGTTTAGTTTCCATTCCTGTGGTGGTATGAGCTTTTATTTATGGGCTTGTAAATTTCCCATGAATGAAGTAGACAGAAGTTAAGAAAGAAGGCTATGGGAAATAGTTATGGTAAATACTCGGGCTGCACTCGAGAAAAGGGATTCATACATAATTCCTAATATCTCAATTTTTTCCATGATGGTCAACACCAGGAATTCTATATTGATACCTAATACTAAATAAGTTCCACACATCGGCCTGTCTGTGATAGCATGTTGTGCGACGTTGATATGTTTCATCTTCAATCACCTTCTCAATCCCTAATTTGGATTCCCTAATTATGATTTGATGAGATCTATTGAATTCTCTTGATAGAATAGCTTCATAATAGGTTTGGCATACTCGTGTCTTCTACAATCATTTTTTAAATACCTCAAGGATCCCCCCCTTTTTTTTTCCATATTAGAAGAGCAGTTTTAAGCAGCGTTTTCCAAGATATTCCCTATAGCATAAGGCATTTACTAAATGGTGGCAAAGAAACCTGTGTTGATTTTCATTGTATAGACTGGGATACTGTCAAAATAAAACTGCAAGGACCAAATGCGAAAAGCAAAACAGTCATTTCGCCCTGCCAATCGCCCACACATCATGAACAGAACAGGTTACATCAACTCTAGAATATTTTTATAAGTGAGTTTTCCATCATGTGGTGCTAGGATAGTGTCCTGATTTTTTCTATTGCAGTTGGCAAACCTAAAAAGAAGAAAACCAAAGGCAAGAAGGGCATAGGTGGCAAGCTTATGTACTACAGTCTATTCATAGTACAGTTATGAAAATATCTGCCACATATGGTTTACCCCTTGATCAATAGTTTGAGTGTACGTACTTTTGCTATTCCATGTTACACTCAAGCACACACACTCAGCCTATTTTTAGTTGCAGTTCTCAGGATAAATCATTGAGCCAAAGCTTCCACAGATTCTTGTAATGTATTATGTGCATACTTTTTGCATCCCTCAACATCATGGGTATCTTTGGCGGGTTGCGGAGATTGATATAGAACTTCGCTCTTTCTGATCAGTGAACAAAAGATAATAGATTATTTCTTTGTTATTCATGTTAGCCTGCAAATAGTGTCTCATGTTTACTGGGATCACCCAACCAAGAGGTCGATTCCTCTCTGGAATCTTGCTCTTGCACTCCAGGGAAAGCAGTCTCACTCTTCCTTGAGTTTTTAAATTTTGGAATCTCGATCCTTCTTATTGGGGATGGAGATTTTGAGTTACAAGGGATCCAAATTCCCTGGCATTATAATATAATATAGTAGTGTAGTATAGTATAGCGATGTGGTTTGGTATACTAGTATAGTATAGTACTATAGTTATAGTCTAGTAGTGTAGTATGTAGTTATGTGCTAGTGTTTCAAAACACTAGTATATATCCTAGTATATCGTATGGTGGTATATACCAGTGTTTCAAAACCTGATGATCCGGATCAGGAATTGCCTCTCCGGAGTGGGAATCAGTTGGGACTGAACTGGTGTTAGGAAGGTATCAGTACCGGCAAACTGAGATCCCTAGAGTTCAAGGTGTGTGGCTCGTGATCCTACCATGGGGTGCTTCCTGCTTGTCACTATCCTCTTTCCCAATTCCAATCCTAGATTTGGTTGGATTCTGATCCTGGTAACTATGATTTATCTTAAATATGTTTACTTCTTTGTCATACATTCCTTGCTTTTTCTTTTTCACATTGTTTCTACTTCTTGTACCATTTCTTTTTTGAGAATCAACTGTTCATTCTTGGAATAGTTTTGGGCTGAAGGACTTATAATTTTTATATCTCGTCCTTTTTATTGAATCATATCAAAAGCTTTTGCCGTGTAGTAAAAATGTGCATTTACATACAAGATGCCATGCAGTCCTTTTCTGGTTAAGTTCTACTTATGTTTTGTCTCAGTTGTTTATTTAACTTTTACTTTCTCCTGATAGGTCTTGGTCTTGGTTGGGGAAACTGGCTCTGGAAAAAGTACGCAATTGGTTCAATTTCTTGCTGATTCAGGTTTAGCAGAGGGTTTAATTATTTGCACTCAGCCGCGGAAAATTTCTGCTGCATCTCTTGCACAAAGGGTTGGTGAAGAATGTCTTGGATGCTATGCTGATAATTCTATTGTTAGCCACACTGCATACTCTTGCATGCAAAGACTTAATTCGAAGGTTATATTTATGACAGATCATTGTCTTCTCCAGTATTGCTTGTATAACTCGGATTTGTCCAATGTATCCTACATCATTGTGGATGAAGCCCATGAAAGAAGTTTGAATACAGATCTCCTCTTAGCATTGATCAAAGGCCTTCTCCTTCGAAGACAAGATTTAAGGCTTATTATAATGTCAGCAACAGCAGACGAAGACAAGCTATCAAATTACTTTTTCAGATGTGACACTTATCATGTGATGGGGAGAAGTTTTGGTGTGGACATCAAATATGTTACCTATTTATCTTCAGAGCCTTCTGAGGCCAAAGATGGTCCTCTCATTGGCCCTTATGTCAAGGATGTTATTAAAATGGTTCGTGAGATTCATGTGAGAGAGGATGATGGGGCTATTCTTGCTTTTTTGACTTCCCAGTTGGAAGTGGAGTGGGCCTGTGAAAAGTTTCAGGTTCCTAATGCAGTTGCACTGCCATTACATGGGAAGCTATCTAGTGAAGAACAGTGTCATGTTTTTCAAAGCTATTCAGGGAAGAGAAAGGTCATTTTTGCCACAAATTTTGCTGAGACCTCTCTCACCATTCCTGGTGTCAAGTACGTAGTTGATAGTGGCTTGGTTAAGGAGTGCAGATATGAGGCTAGCACTGGTATGAATATGCTTAAAGTGTGCCGGATCAGCCAAAGCTCAGCCAATCAAAGAAGTGGTCGTGCTGGTCGAACAGAACCAGGCAAATGCTACAGGCTTTACTCAGTTGAGGAGTTTGCATCTATGCCTTGTCATCCAGAGCCAGAAATTCTAAGAGTCCATCTTGGTGTCGCTGTCCTTAAAATTCTTGCAATCGGTGTAAAGAACATACAATCATTCGATTTTATTGATGCACCCAATCCAAAGGCTATTGAGAAAGCTATTCAGAATTTAATTCAACTGGGTGCTGTTATCTTCAGAGGTGATGTTCTGGAGTTGACTGATTGTGGCCATCAACTGGTCAAATTGGGCATTGAACCTCGACTGGGAAAGCTTATTCTTGGTTGCTTTTCTGAGAGTTTGGGCAGAGAAGGCCTCGTTCTCGCTGCTGTAATGGCTAATGCAAACAGCATATTTTGCAGAGTTGGGAATGATGAGGAGAAAACAAAGTCAGACTGCCTTAAGGTAAAATTTTGCCACCGTGATGGGGATCTTTTCACTCTTCTTTCTGTTTACAAAGAGTGGGAGAATGAGCCAGCAAACGACAGGAACAGATGGTGTTGGGAGAACAGTATTAATGCAAAATCCATGCGACGGTGCAAGGACATGATATTTGATTTGGAACACTGCCTTCAACATGATCTGAATATTATTGTTCCAAGCTACTGGTTATGGTTCCCCCATATTGCTAGTGTACTTGATCAGAAGTTGAGGAGAATTATATTGTCAGCCCTTGCAGATAATGTTGCCATGTTTTCTGGATGTAATCGTATTGGTTATGAGATAGCTTCGACGGGAAAGCATGCACAGCTTCATCCAGCATGTTCGTTTTTAGTATATGGTCACAAACCTAGTTGGGTGGTTTTTGGTGAACTCCTTTCAACTACCAAGGATTATTTGGCATGTGTTACCACTATTGATTTTGAATTCCTGGACACCATAAGGCCCTCTATTTTGTTTGATGTCTCACAGTTAAGCAGCAAAAGAATGGAGAACAAAGTGATTTCGGGAGTTGGAAGCTCACTATTGAAAAGGTTCTGTGGGAAGTATAACCATAGTCTACTTGGTCTTGTTTCACGACTTCGAGAAACTTTCTCTGACGAGCATGTGAACATCAATGTTGACTTTGATACGCGAGAGATACATATATTTGCTCCAGAAGTTCAAATTGAGAAGGCCTATGAAATTGTAAATGAGGCCTTGGGCTATGAAACAAAATGGATTAAGGATGAGTGCCTTGAGAAATGTTTGCATTATGGGGCACAGGGTAGCTTTCCTTCTTCGGCATTGTTTGGTTCTGGTGCTGAGATAAAGCATTTAGAACTGGAGAAGAGATTCTTAACTGTTGAAATTTCTCATGAAAACACACAAACTCTTGATGACAAGGAACTCCTTTTGATGTTTGATAAATGTGCCTCTGGTATAGGTAGTTTCCATAAATATAGTGGAGTGGGGCGAGAAAGAGTAAACTTAGAAAAGTGGGGCACGATCACGTTGCTCAGTCCTGAAGCTGCAGAAAAAGTTGTGGTGAATTTGAATGATACAAAAATAGAAGGGTCTCTTTTGAAAGTGACTCCTTTAAGGACAGCGCTTGGAAGTGATCCAAAGGTGCATTCTTTCCCTGCAGTAAGAGCCAAGGTTAGCTGGCCCCGTAGACAAAGCAAGGGTGTTGCTATTATCAGATTTGAACCACATGAAGTTGAAAGGTTTATCCACGAATGTCCATACTTATTGATTGATGGCAAGCTTGTTAATTGTTTTCTCAGTAGGAAAAACATTGATTCTGCTGTCGTAAGTGGACTTGATAGCAATGTTATGGAACCAGATATATGGGATGCTTTAAGAAATGCCACAAAAAGGAACATACTTGATGTTTTCTTGTTGAGAGGTGAAGCTGTCGATCATCCTCCTTCTGCGGCCTGTGCAGAAGCACTCATTAGAGAATTTGCAAACTTCATACCAAGAGACAAGCTGCGTGTACATGTATATAGATCTGATCCTAAGGATTATATTGTGAGAGCTTTGATTATTTTTGATGGGAGGTTACATTTGAAAGCGGCAATTGCTTTGGACCACATCCAGGATAGTGTCCTGAAAGGTTGTCTTCCATGGCAGAAGATATATTGCCAACGGATGTTTCATAGCTCAGTTAGCTGTTCCCCCCCTGTCTACAAGGTTATCAAGAAACAGCTGGATTCTCTTTTCCAGAAATTGAAGCGGGAAAAAGGTATTTTTGATTCTCTAAGTTTAATAGTAGTCCTCTTTGTCACCATATTTGTAAATTTTATTGGACTCATAGATGTTATATTGATCATTGTAATAATTGGTTTTGATGTTCCTTAGTTTTCTTCAAAATTTTTTTGTGTATGTGTTTCATTGGGCTTAAAGTCTTGTACATAATTGTTATTAGAGTATGATGTATCCTTGTCATTCCTATGACCTTTTCTGGAGCACTGGTATATGTCTTTCTCTTGATTTTTCTTCAATTTAGCGTATCAAACAGATCATTGATAACCAGTTCTGCCTTAAGGAAGTTATTATTATGAAACTATAGGAGAAGTATTCTCTGTGAAGTGTTGGCAATTTATTGACACTTGAGCATGTTCAATATTTATGCATTAGGGGAATAACCTATTGGCTCCTATGAAATCTGTCATGGAAGGGACTGCAGGATTCTATGGGAGGTCTGATTTTCCGTTTGACCCTGGGAGATAATCGATATGACATACAATTATATTGCGACTGCCATGTTCTTGGGTATATTTTTTTTGTTTTTAGGCCAAGGGTTGGGAGCCACCCTCTATAGTTTGTCTCAGAGCTGTTGGAAATGCCAGAGGTTCCGAATAGATTTAGGAATTGGAATCGCAGAATTGCGACTGGCTAAAAGATTCCTATTTCTATAATCGACATCCGCATTGCAGGAAATGAGATTCCTACTTATAGGAGTTGAGATTCGACCCGAATGAATGGCCATCCCGATATATATGGAATCGAGATTTTCACCTCTTTGGAATGGAGTTTCAAACTTATTTGTAATCGACCTATATGGAATCGAGATTCCTTCATATAGGGAATCAAGATTCTGACGTCTTTGGAATTTAGTTCTGATTTATTTGTAATCGAGATTCATATTAGTTTGGAATCAAGTTTCGATCCATCTGGTAATTAAGATTTGTAACTCTGTGGGTTCTAGTTTCAACCCTTTGAGAATCAAGATTCCTATGTGAACGATACCTAGCGCCTTAACAACTGAGAACCTCATCAAGAAATCGAGATCAGAGGTCTCTAATACCTGAAGAAGGGTTCGGAGGTCTCAAAACCTGAAGAAGGGTTCCTTAGATTTGAAGTCAATGCATTGACTATTGAGCCTTAGGCTCAGTTTCAGAAGGTCAAGTAATCGAAAATCATAGTCTACTTAGGGAAATTGTCTATAAAGATACAAATATTATCTCAGGTATTTTTAAACTGTGATTATGATTTCTTTATTATTGCTCAAAATGAGATTTTGTTTGTGCCATGGTGTTATCTGTTGTAGTATGTGCCTTTGATACCAAGGTTAAGGACGTGGAGTATTGAATTTTTAACGTTGCAAGATTCAAGCTCTCTTAATTTTAATGCTCCAACACCGAAGTTATACTTTCCTTTGTTACCTGCAAATGACATCAGAATGATACTTGATAAGAACTTAACTTTAAACATATGCAATTGATAGTTGAGTTATACCAATACTACGAAAATGCATTCATTGGATTATTGTTTATAGCACATATGAGCTATGGGAGAAAATCGTCGCCAGACTGGTTTCCAAATAAGTGAAATCGAAATCCATAATATTTGAACTGATCCACAATTCACAGATTTGTGCATCTTGAATATTAGTAATTGATTTTGTGGTATTACGATTCCAAAAATTAAATCAAGATTTTACAGGGGTGGAAGCAAGATTCCTGAACCACAGCGCTTGATGTTCAAGAATCTGGATTCAAAAACAATCGAATCAAGTATCATTATATGTGGAATGCAGATTCAACATATGCAGAGTTGGGTTTCAACAATTAAGGAATCAAAAATAAATAAATATTAGAAACAAGATTCTGTAAGTGTTGGAATCGAGATTTCTAGAATATGAAATCGAGATTCTTGACTTCACAGAAGTGCATTCCCAGAAGATTCTTATTGGAAATGCAGAATAGGGATTCCAAATTGGAATCGCGACCTTGCATGAGAGATTCCGGTAACTATGGTTTGTTTAGTCGTGGGCTCTAAGACTAAAGTCATGATCTAGTTACCATGATTGCCCTTCCAAAGGGTCGATCTTGCACCCGAAGCTCAATCATGCGCTCCATGTGGGGGGATGTTGCTCCAGGGTTTTTGATATGTAGGATCTTGATTCTTTCTGTTAGGGATCGGGATCCTGAGTTACATAGGATCCAGATCCTTTAACATCACTTTGGAGAGTTCATAGGTAATCCACACCAATGTCCCACCAACATGGGATTGAGATTCCTTTAAGTTGCGACTTAGAATCAAAAGGAAGTATATTGAGTTGTTGACACATATTGGTTATCATCATATCTGAGGCAAAGTAAATGGAGATTCTACAATCATGGGATCAAGATTCCTATAAGATGGATCTAGACTCAAAAGCAAAGTTATTGAGTTATTAAAGAAATATATATTAGATAAATAAATTTATTTATTAAAGAATGATTTATATAATGAGATTTAGACATTACAGAGGCAAGATGCAACTTTCTTACTGTTGGAGGCACAAAGCTTCTCTTCCCTTGTGCTGGAGCAATGAGTTTGAATCTCTCATGTTATTTGTGTTATATTTTAAATTAAATGGATCATTTGCTTGTTTGTTCAGACAATAACGATTTCCGGTGGTGTTAGATTGTATTGTCCATCATTAACATTTTTGAGTTTGACTCTTGGAATTCGACTTAATCCTATTACTACTACAGTTCTCCCACAAGAAAGTTGGCATTACTGGCATGGCTACATAACGGCAAGTTGGCATGTAATGGCTATTTTGCACAAGGTGGCATGCCTATATAAGATCTACTTAATAAACAAAATTACAATGCTTTCTTTTATGTATATATAATTTTGGGCTTCATTTTAATACTTTTGTTTTCTAGGAATAAGGACGGCTAGGGTTGTTACTTTTTAAAATTAAAATAATACATAATGAAATATTTACGAACTAAGAATATCTTAAATGACTTTAATTGTTTATGAGCTATGGTGAAAGGAAAACAATGATTTTAAATTATTATAAAATAATTGGATTTTTTGAAGTAGTTAATAAATTTTTAAATTGAAAAAACTATCAATTAATGAAAATGTTTAGTGGAGAGCAAAATTATTGAGATATTATAGAATGATTGAATTTTTTGGAATATTTAATAAAATTTTAAAGTTTTGAATTACTCAAAATGTAGTATGGACTAAGCTCCCCACCAAAGGAGCCATAGTTGGGACCTATATTTTAGGTTGTTTGGACTTTGATTTCTACCCTAGGGAGCTTCATTCTTGTTGAGATGCTGAGCTCTCTTCCCCATTCCCCAATGAGTTTGCGATCTCGATCTGAGCAACTATAGTCATGTTCTGTAGTTATGCCAATGATCTACTTGTTGAAAGTTTATAAAGGAATTAAAATGCATACAGATCTCAAGAAAGTTGGACTGCTGAGAAATTGGTGAAGATTTTTATTTGGCTAATTCACAAATTTAGGACTATTTCTTAAGTTGGAGATGAATATACTTGTAGGAAATCATTTTTGATTTAGCCTAGGTCATTTTCATGATCAGCCTTATCCCAGCTATTTGGGGTCGGCTATGATTTAGCCTAGGTGTCTTTCAGGATATTCAGAACTTTGTTTTATTGAAATATTTATAAGTTACAGGAGCATTATAGGAATTATAAAACATTGTTTTTTGATCCGTAGTTTTTTGAAAAAGTTTGGTTACTTTAGGTTGGTCTTGTGGTTCTACCCATGGTTAAGATCATAGAAAAGAGTGAGTTTTACAGGGGAATTTGTCTGAACAATATCATGCTCAAAGAGGGCAGGCTGCAAAGAAATTTACACAAATTGAAGGCACATTTTTTTCTAGTGAAAGTGCTTTCCATAGGGCCTTTGTGAATTTGTTCCTTGAGAGTGCTTTACCATCAGCTTGGGAAAGAGCTTCACATCTAAATAGGTGGAGCCTGCTTTCTCACATTTTAATGTTAAAAGGTCGGAAAGCCCTACAGTAACTATCACTTTCTTTAGAGATAAACATGGGCAAGTGGACATGTAGCGGAACGTGCCGTTAGGGTTTATCTTTTCGAGAAGTAAAATAAACCAAGGAAAATGAAAATGTGCATGCAGAAAAATCTTTTTTGGAATAAATACTACAAGATTCACTCGAAAGTAAAGTTTAGCTTCTCTACAAGCTCTCCACTTAAAACTTTCACAGGAGAATTCAACAGAACGGACTCTTCTGCAGTTCGTCTTTCTATAAAATATTTATACCTCATACCAGATGGTGGATTCCTCTTCGATTTCTTCTTTCTAAATCCAAATTTCTATAAGAGATTCTCTCTGGTGAATCCTGGATAGATTTGTTTTTTGCCAAAACGTTAAATATTTCTCTTTTGGACATTTCCACTTCTAACATCTAAATAACCTTCCAAATGAGGTTTATCTCATATTTTATGATTGAAAACGTATTCTAGGGCCCACTTCCAAAATTATCCATTAAACTAATGCTAAAAAATTGCCAATTTGTATTGGGAATCATTCGCTATTGTTCTGATTGATGGTTGGAATCGATGATTTGGATAATATATTACATAATATATAAATAATATTACACTAAGTTAGAGTAGCTTAGTTGGCTAGAACATGTGGCTTTTAAATGCTAGGTCAAACATTCGAACCCTCCTAGCTTTCTACTTCTTTAATGTTCAAATAAATATTTTAATATACTATATAATATATTCAAGGGAAATTTCAAATTGGCCCTCCAAAAAGTGCGGACTTCAATGAAAACCTTGTAATATCTCTTAAGTAGCCTAATACTTCGATTTAATATTTAAGGGTCCCACTTCCTTAAACCCCTTCCCCCTTTTTAATGTCTTTCTTCCTAAATACGCTCTTGTGTACTTCATATTTCCGTTCAAGTCCAAATCCTATTTCCCCCATCTCATTCTCTTACCTAGTATTTCTCTCTCTAAACT